TCAAGACGATAGCTTTGATTCACGAGTACCACTGACTGCGCGATTTGACCATATACGGGGTCCCCATCCAGGGATGTGGCAGTTACCGATCCGACTAAGTGTACTGGTCAGTGTTTTCACACTTCGTTGCTAGAACATACACTATCCACCTGTAGGTCGCTTTAACTCAGAACAGAGCTGGGCGAAAAAAGCTCTGCGAGGCAGGCGGTCTTCTGGTATGGGCGGGGGTACATGTCCTAACCAGCGTAACTTATAGAGCGTGAGTAATTCATCTATCGCGAGAGAGTTCCTTCTGCATAAGACCATCTGGCATACTTCAGCATTGCTTAAGTCGATATTCCCACCAGACCTGACCAATGCTGCAGAGACACCTATGGTCAAACAACGACATCTTTATTATGTCCTCTGCGTGCAGAGACCACGTAGCTGATCCATAAAACTGTATGGATCTCACCGACGCAATGCGAAATTTCCACTTAACAGACAAACTGACATCACTCGGCATCGTAGGTGTCGAAGGTTGGTAAAAGCTGCCCTGGCCTTTCCGATTCGAGAAGTAATCTTATCTCCAGCCAGTCTGTCGGAACGTATACAGCTGCCCAGGTAAACAAATTTAACTACCACGTCAATTGGCTCACCTGCAGGCATGAGATATGGGTTTCAACCCACCCAGTCTTGCAGCAGCACTTTACACTTTGCAGATACGAGGCGCATGTCAAACCGTGCGGCAGTTATTTAGGTTATTAAAAATCGCTTGCATCTGGTTATTATATGAACCAAGGAAAGCATCTGCATGACTGTATGTTGACAGTATCTTTCTGGCCACATCAGCTGGAAACTCTTCGGCTACTGAAACTTGCAAAAGTGAATGAGCAGAGCTGCTCTACATTGACAAGCGTAATGACGACGGAAAGTGAAGTGCTAACCAGGCCCGCACAATGAGGTGATCAGAGACAAGTTGCGTATCCCAGAAAGAACGACAATCCTTAACTGAGGCTCTCCATCGGTAACTGATAGCCACCTGATCCAATTGAGTCACGACTTTCCTGTGGTAGGTGGCCTCCAAGTAACTCGGTGTGATCACTTTCGATCCTGATTCAAGCTGTCCGATCAGCGTTGGGTGAACACTCATCATCGTCCGCCATGATTCTATGGCACGCCTCAGCAGTCATTATCGTCGGTCGTTGTTGAAGCGATCGACTGCTTGAGCGTCTAATAGGAGGCTAGTTGTCCTGGTCAGGATGCTTGACGGCTTTCCTACGGTGATTTTGGTTGAGTTTGAGGGTCAGAGTAGGATTCGGGCATTCTGGAATTATTTTCAGGAATCTGACCTTCCTGACAACAACAAAGGATATTTCTCTTCCTGACTTCACTCAGGTAGCAGATCAAAACCATATTACGACACAAGCTGTACTGGCTATCTTTGGCAACACAAAGTCGTGTAACTCAGATTCAATCTGCTCCATTATTCTTTCAAACAGCTCTGGCTATTCGTCCTTGATAATGGGAGCTATGATTAAGCAGTAAATTCTGAACGCTTTCAAACTTACTCCGTTTGGGATCGTAAAGAAGTGGTTTCCAAACCTAATAGTTCGACCTGAGTAGTAAACTTAACAGAGTTTATCCTGCTGTCAAAACAATAGCGCTATGTCGTTGCCTAGATAATGCTCCAGCCCTTCGACCCACGTAGCGAAGTGTAGTATGTCATGTATTATATGAAATATATGTATTATTTTTAATACCTTTTCTTCTGGTTTAAGGCTGCTACGTAAAGCAAATCTCTCGAAATGTTAAATATTAAATAAGACAACAGAACCCCATATATACTCCGTGAAGGAGTATATATGTGAATGTGCCGCGTAGCTTAAAGTAACCGATATCCTTGAAAAACTACACATGCTCAAAACACTTCATAAAGACTATTTGCTTACACGCACATGCATTTCCAAGAGCTCCTTGTTACTGAGACAGCATATTAGGCAAAGTTAAATGCTGGAAAAATCAGAGACAACAGCTACTGTCTGGGCATGTCCTGTAAAAACAGGAAGACCTAGATCCATGGCTGTTAGACATTATCCACATGATAATCAACTGTGATACACCCAAAACCACAGGGTCGCCTTGTACAGTAGCTGCAAAACAAGGAGACAGCTTTGGATCAGCCACAACAGCCACAAACAGCAAGATGTGCGAAGTTAGCAACAGTCATTTGGGAAATTGAAGCGACCCCTCTCCCGAACTGGTGTCATAATACGGTCAACAACTAGACTGGTTTATCTTTGTAATGTACTACTCATAAGGTTGCTGAAAATCCATCGACAGCCCACGATCAGTTTCGCCCTTCTTGGGGCTCATCAGGTAGGCGCAGTCCCCGGGTTTCCGTCAACCTTATGATCTACTTGAAACCAAATTGCACGAAATTAGCGAATATACACTCATTTGCAAACTAATTTGGTTCTTTCGAGAGACTCACCTGGAAACCAGCTGAATCTCTCGTTTATGGTGGTACTGGTTACTTAAACTAAGTTGACCTCATGTTAATTCGCCCAATCATTTGTTCACTCCTCCCCTGTACTTTTGATCACTTTCTTTGTTCTCTGCACCCGCCATTAATCTTGCCACAAAGGTCGCCCCACCCGACACTTGTATTCTAGCATGTGTGTATGTGGGTGAACGTGCGCACCTGACCCGCTTACCCCTGCAGGACTTGCCGCGTTTACTGAGCCTGTTCTGACTTGTCGTTTTTTCGTGCATCGACAATCAGAATCACGAGACCTGAAGAGGCCTCTGAAGAGACAAACACAACTCGTGCTATCGAGCCAACCTTCCGCTTTGCCTTTTGTGGTGTGCGAACATTGAAAATGCCATGTACCTATCAGTATCAAACTTGCGTACTTGCTGACGTCACGAACGTGAACACCTGATGTTTGTCGTGTAATTTTGCTCGGCATTGTTTAGACTCTATGGTAAACATTCTAACCCAGTTCTCCCATTTGGTATCCAGGACCATCAAAACTACGAGTGACTCAAAGTTTTGTATCGAGAACCTCAACACTGGTACTTCGCCCTTCTCATAGCACGGTTTGGTGAATAGGTTCTTAATGAAGCTGTGAAATTTAAATTCTAGTACACTTGAAAATAGCACTAGTGAAATTAGTAGTATGAACACGCGTATGTCCTTGTCGTCATCGGAATTCGACGATGGATAGATACAGTTGGGGGCGTCGTAAAATCGAACGTTCGTGTAAACTACACCACAAAATGCGAACCAAGTACCCACATTACCGAATCTTGCTCAAATCAGTACGAATACAAATCTCCTAAGCGCGATGTATATACTGAGACGCGATTCTTGTGGAAAAAACAGCAAAATCCAAAATGTACTATCAGCGTAAATGGAAAACCACATTCAGTTTATCATGACACTGTCAAATCCAAGCAACTGAAAACGCACAGAAATAAAGTTAGAGAGCAGAACTCAGTTTGTGGCCAGTATATCCAAACTTCGCTTGATGCTAGAATGCTGTCACGAGCAGATATGGAAGAGAATGAGGGCTGAATGAGCGATCACACCATCTGTAGAACCGGAATAGCTCTTCGGCCAGCGGCCTCATTGGTTAGTTTTGAAGTCGGATTCCGTGGCCATCCGCAGTCAATAGCAATGTGATTCTTAACACTCCCGGCAAAGTCATGAGCGCTTCCTGTCCTAGGTGACGCGACTCCATCACAGCTGAACAGAGAGAAGAGAATCGGATCATGAGAAAACGCCTCTCTGTACAACCAGCAGGCCGTGCTGGCCATCAGTGCACGAAGCAATACACATATATCTGGTGGCTAATTGTCTTCCGAATGGCTAAAAGAGGTTAGCGGATGAGAGCGTATTATCAGTAGAATTCTCTAGTCTCCCAGTAAATGGAAACATAACGCAAGCAACCCATTGCTAGGTTTTGTACCCTTTGACCTGTATACAGCCGTAGCAACGCGGGTAAATACCCTGCTTATTTCAGTTCTCCTTCTTTAAATCCGTGGAACCAAATCTTCGTTCTCTCATTCATGCATCTGATTTGGTTGTGATTTCGTCTTAGTGGTGTGACCATACCAAAATGAATGCTCTTATCCAACCATCTTTGCTTGAGGTGTACCATCCGTTATCGGAATGAAAACGCCTATAAAACTTAGTTAAATTCTGTGTTCTCCTTGTTGATTAAAGATTATTTGAACCTGGGGTAAGTTGAATGTGTTTAACACACCCTTTGGGCTGATAACACCACTCGCTAGTTAAACTGTAACGTCCACTTAGCGATTATGTACTAAAAATTACCCGATGGGTAAATTTGGCTACCGCGTTTCAACCCACAGTTTGGCGGGCCAGGAGCAAAGCCCAATAGGATCCCACTGGAAATCCAAAATCAAACCGACGTATCCGGTTGATGGATTCGGGGCTAACGTTACAAGTAGAAAAGATTGATATACTCCTACCTTTTAAACAGGAACGTGACTGTGGCCAATGGCATCACATATTACTTATTTGAGCAGTATGCGGTCAATAATACCGCCGCATCAAGAGGGAATATTTGGCAACTATCGATTTTCTGATAAACTAGGTGTCTTGAGGGCATTCTGTTGGCCAGTCGTTTGACAGTACTGAACGTGTGTAGGATAAAGCTGAGAGGTAGGTCCTATCTATATATCCTAAGCAGATCAAACGAGCAGAGCAAATGACTTGGTTCCTCTGTAAACCGAGTGCGCACATACGTGTGAGTATATATGTTTCGCGCTTGATTTTCGTCTTTCATTTTCATAATTCACGTCTACCAGACGAAACAACGTTTATTCTATTAATGTTATTGTATTTGTCGAATAAAATGCCCCGGGTTATTTGTCCGCCCAGGATGAAAAGAACTAGACACTCGCGTTTCAATATAATAAACTACTGAATTTAAAGAACTATACGGACATTGGCTTGCAGATGGAATACTTGTACCTTCATTTTTTCGCAGCTTAACTCCGATGATGAAAACAGCCCAATTACTTAAACACAAAAGCTCTTAACTTAATTTTTCACTTTCACTTTGACTACTGTTAAGATGAGGATAACAAAAATCAAGGCCTGACAACGGAGCTTACAAAAGCGGAACCCGCTTGGTCCTAAGCAGCAATAATTTGGCACGCGCGTTTCTATATTGGTCCGGAAATTTGCGGAGACATTCACATTATTAGACCGGTTAGAGAGTTTCTGTCTGCTGGCACTAGTTGCTGTGGGGATGAGACGGTTCCCGATGGCGGCAACAACGAGCATTCATGCGTGTTGACCTAGTCCACGTTCCTGTTCACCAATGCCGTCCTGCATTTTGCCGCACACGTATTGCACATGGTGAATCAGGGTAGCTATCATCCGGTACATCCAAGAACATTTTCTGCGGAAGGGATTCCAAGGTTGGCTCAAGTCTATTGAAGCCTCTCAAAACAGACGAATCTGCGAATGACAAAAGGCAAGTTTGCCTCAAGATCCCATTCTAAAGGGATTTTTTCCCCAACCATTCAAGAAAATCGATAGGGTTTATATTTATAGGAGTTACTCACACGCTATTCTGTGCCTCATTTCAATCCTGGCCATCATGTTCCACCCGCGATGCAAAATGTCAATCCCGAATGCTATCTCTGGTGCGTACACATTCGCGTGCTATTATCAGGTATTCTTTATTGTACGTAAGACGACACAAAAAATGAGGCCCACAGAAGGACTCCAGAAAAGTTTAAACGTCAGGCAACAGTGCTCAATAGCGGTTAGGTGTCCATCGACATGATTCGAATCCCGTCAAAATGATCCTTCAATACAAACTCCTAGTTCACTTCACCGCTTGAGGTACAGGAATTATTAATCTATCCAGGAACGATGCACGCAGCAGTCGGCTAAGCGACTTTCAGTTTCTACCGAGTGAATTCATTACCGAGAATGATTATAAATCTGTGGTAGAAAGTTGATAGACCACAGTGAACTGGCTGGGAAATACATGTCCTTCATTTACAACCTTTAGTCATGTGATGAAATATTCCGAATGGCAAGACAAGCATGACAAAGCCTTACAACAGGAGGCCGACTTGACGTCGAATTAACCTATCCACAGATGTATGCAAACTTTTGGACGATACATCGGAATTCGAAAGACACCCTGGATATCCTACCTTCTCGTTTTCCACCAGTTATTTGGATAGATGTGAAGGAAAACCGTGACAAATGCCCCGATCAACATACCGACCAATCACTTTTCAGAAAGTCTCATGGCCTCGAAATCCGCCAATCGTATTTATGTAGAATGACGCAAATCTGATATTTAAAGTATATAGGCGTGCGTAATGATAAATTTTATTCACAAATCACCGCAAAATGTATAGGATACTTTAATTTTCGAAACGTGCAATGGATCGATCATGTAAGTGCCGTGTATCCATGAAATGCCCTGTACAATGAGTGAATCCCAACAATGTTTTGCGAAAAGTTGCCCAACAGATAGGCAACAACAACAAAGATGTGATATTTCTAAAGCAATCAGCACAAATTTCTCACTTATGTCCGTAGTCACTTTCAACAAGCATGTGTTCTTGATGATTTCCTACTTCACCATGTTGATCAGTCCAACCAAACAGTCTACGTCAACCATTACACGTGATTTGATGTATCCTGCAATTTCCAGTACTAATTCTGTGGTTAAAGTCAATCCAATCCTTCTCACAATCAACGAAGAACTTCAGATAGGCAGTCAAATCGGTCGACTTCGTGAGCTCATTTATCCCAGACCGAATTCAGACGTGAAATTTGTTATTCCGCAGAATCCTTATTTTATTATTGACACAGGTGGAGTCCTGCGGACCCACGGCCCTGTTGATCGAGACAACAATCGTCAGCTTTGTTCAGAACCGGGTTTCCCGGACCAATGCATATGGAGCAGCGTAGCTATTGGAACAAACGGTCAGTATATTGCTATACGGATTACGATTAATGATGTCAATGACAACGTTCCAACTTGGTCGGAACAATACATTACTGTTCAAGTTGCCGAAGAGTTGGATTCAAAGTTTTCCACCGAATTGCCGATTGCAAACGATCCTGACACTGGCCTAAATGGAATTCAGGAATACAAGTTACAAGCAGAACAGGATTTTCTGGAATATTTTCAGTTACAAGTCTCTAAGGAATCCACCCAAACATCGAATTATCGTTTCCGTCTGTTTTTACATGTAGTGGCTCCCTTGGATCGTGAGGAATGTCCCATGTATAATTTAACCTTGTTAGCCTTCGACGGCAGCAGACCATTTCATACTGGCACTGTAACTGTTCGTGTCGTCGTTATCGATGAAAACGATCACAGCCCACAATTCACAAGTCATTCGTATGTGGCTATTGTGCAAGAAGACGCGGCGGTTCAAAGTGAGGTACGTTTGCTGGGCAGGAACGATACTGATCGCCAGTCTGATGTAGGAGCACAATACTCATCGCCCCCTGCATTGCAAACAAACGATGAAGTATTTCTTGCTCTCGATCGGGATTCCGGTTTGAATGGTGAGATTGAGTACAGCTTCGCCACTTCAACAGATCCAGACATTCTGAAAACATTCAGTTTAGACAGGCAAAGTGGAACGCTGAGAATAGCAAAGCAACTAAGTTATGACAACGGACCTAGGGAGTGGCGGTTCAAATTATACGCAACCGATCATGGCCGACCGCCGCGGTCTAGCTCAACGGAAGTATCAATCAAACTGATTGATGCAAATACGCACGCGCCAGAAATCAAAGTTAGGGCACAACTTCCAAAAGCCTATCGGGTGCACGTTCAGCGTGCTCAGTCGACCGGACTACTTTCACAAATTGATCCAGATTTACTATACATTCCGGAAAACATGAACCCGATAAATGATTCGTTGGCAGTTGTAACTGTCAGCGACAGAGACGTCGGACCCGGTGGTACGGTCGATTGTTATTTGACACAGGAACAAAACAAAGCACCAAATTTTAGTTTGTTTCCTGATCGAAAATCTCCTCCAATAATGTCAGATTATTTTCGTCTGTCATTTACGGACAAACTTCCAAAGTGGAATGTTTATAGCTTATTCGTACAAAAAAGTGTGGATCGCGAGACCATGTTCGATAGGACATTGATCATCAATTGCACGGACAAAGGAAGTCCACCAAAATCATCATTCGCTCGGTTACTTCTATACATCGTGGATCAGAACGACAATGCACCGGAATTTACACAGCCAACCTACCGAATTCACGTGAGTTGATCCTCTGGACAATTGATCATTTTACTTATTGAACATGTTCACACAATGCGAACGCAACTCCAATTCTATTTGGTACCTTCTAGCCAGGCTCTAAAGAGAGCATTCAAAAAGCCCAACTGATGCTTTTAATATCAAGCGACTTATTACACTGCTCACTTTGGTTCCTTGCCGTACAATACTTTATCCTGTCTATCAGTACTGCTAAATTCTCGAGAGACAGCTTGTATGTGACGTGTTCCATAAGTACCGTTTTGTGGGCAAAGCTAACACTTCGACGGTGCCCGTCATCTCTGCAGGGCAGGATGACAGCACTGCGAGTAAATGTAGTCCCTCAGTATTTCAATCAATAGAGAGGTTTTCGTCACTGGCTTGAACGTATTGGGTTTCGGCTTGGTGGTCCACATAGAACCTGGGCTCTTTTCTGTTTAAAGACTTTTGGAGGTCTTTTCTGCTTCGTATTATGTAAACACTCTTGTGTCTCGAAGAAATAGCTAAATAATGTATTTCATTTTGCGTTGCGTGCCACGTCAACAAGATAGCACACCCGGTTGTTAGTGCTCATGAGCGTCTGTTGCCTCAAATACTCACATAATTGAATCCTAGCCAAGCTGCAGGTTGACATACTTACTCGTGTCCACAGATGTATTTCACTCTCTTCTACAGACGGTTTTATAATTATACACACAACCACGTCGGCTTCACAAATTACCGAAGTGATTTATCGCAAGGCGTTTTAAATCAAGTAGAAAAATACTCACACAGACGCAGCGCCCGTGGCTCAATTATGGAGTACTTAAAGTCATCGCGTAGATCTGTTATAGGACCACCTCTGAATATCCAATGTTTGTATGAAAGAGGAGAGTGACACTTCTGCCCCGCCTCTGTCCCGAAGACGTGAGACATTTCCATCACAAATCGAATTCAACTTTCTCTGTTTTTCCTCCGCTGGACTATCTGGGGACCTTCCCAATCGAAACCCCACTTCCAGGCACTTTCTGCTCAATATTTATACGCTCATATTCTATCAGAACGGAGCCTGTTTGTAAGGGTCCTGTCGGTGCAGACACCACGCATGCAATCAGTGCTCCACAGGCTGAGAAGTTTTATAGGTTTTCTGGATCGCGATAGGAAATGACAGCGTAGAGAAACAATATGGCAAGCATGCTGATTGCTATTGCTCCGGTTTATAATTATATTTGCGCAACAGGCGCGGTTCAGACCCCCTGAAACTTGCTCTCCCCAATATTATAAAAGAGGCGGAGGATCAAATACTCCGTGCAGCAATTTATCGTTGATACTCAAAACTGCTCTTGCTTGGGGTCTGTCTAAAAAATGAGACCGTCTATCGCTTGTAAGCGGAGTTCCTATAAAACTCAAACCCTATGAGTGGAGTCGGGTTTGGTACCAGCGGGATGGTGTTGAAATTGGCAAGACAAATAAATGGCTTTCCACGTTCTTAGCCTGAAGATTTGCGGTTTTTATGGCAGAAACCTTCAGCTATCTAACAAAACACTCAGTTATCGGTCAACCACTTAAATCTTATTTGTGTTTGTTTAACTAATAGTCAAACGAGCTTTTAGCCCGATGAAAAAACTAACTGTTCAAGGCTACTTTAGGTTCCTCATGAGTCAACAAATCACGAATCTCGGCAATCCCGAAAACATGAATGATCTCATTGCAACCAAACAAGCCTACGTTTAAAGGTTGTGTTGATTACGTAAATTGCCAGCTTTCCTTAATATAGGGCAGACGATCGAGAATACAGGACAAGTGTCTAGACACTAGGTGTTACTTCATTCGATATAATAAACGATTTGATAAAACATCACAACCATTTTCTGAAAGCATTCTTTCTGAAGTAAACGCGGCCAATGCCAAATCATCATCACTGCACTGAACAGAAACCTATTAAATCAAGTTAATGCAGTTTACATTGGTCACTCTCTGCCAACTATTTATTGCCTGTTTATTACACAGCGTTTCTTGGAATCGCATGCCCTAATTTAAGTAGTATTTGATTTCAAATGCTTGGGTACCGAAGCATATTTACTCATCATGAGTGAGTACTTCAAAACCTTCCATCTCTCAGATGCAGAACGTCATTCGCACTGACACGGCAACCAAGCCCATTGATGAAATTTGTCCCGTTGCCTACTGTCCACTTGTTCTGATGATCTGGAACAACAGGCTGTGTTGTTCACTACTCTATAAAATTCGTCTGTTTTTCCGACCTCTTACAGATTACATAAAGGAGTAATCATGGCCTTCAAACACTATAGTGCACTCAATTGATTTATTCAACGATAAAAGCTACTTCCGTACTCGATGATTTTTTCCTTGATTTATTGTCCACGTTCGTATAGTCGATAGGAAAACTTCGATTTGTTGGTCGTGTTCTCCATTATCCGACTGGTTATTTTCAAGTATTTGTCTTCCGTTATACGAGATTAGAAGATCAACAAAGTTCTTTGATCTTTCACAACATAGACGTTCTCCAAACCGTTAGTTTCCTACTCGTCTCTCCCCCTAATTCACTATGCTGATGATTTTGCACCATTTTCCCGAGAGCCTTTTGTTTTATGACAAAGATTATCGTTTTTTCTTCATATTTTTCATTTTAAAAATTCAGCGGACGAAGTTTAAACCACCCTTTGGAAGCACCGTTGCAGATACTAAGCTTTGAATGACTTCAAGTCACCTTCATGCTCTTACTGTGTGAAGGGCTTGCTGGATCTTTTCTTTGTGTGCAACCACGGAACTTTGGATACAAATAGCTTTGGGCATTCTTGTGTGATCATTTTCCCACAACCTGTTGAACAGTGCTGATTGATTCGTTTGTTTAAAGATTCTGAAAATTGCTTCGGGTTGTCCAATGGTGATGTGCCAACTCCAAATCGTGTTTTCTTATGGTTGCAAATCGTTCAGTTATCGCTTTTCCAGGTCTGTTAAAAAACAATCTGGCCTAGGGCCCGAACTGCTCGTCCAGTGCAGTTTCTTAGTTTTATTCCTTGTACCTTGCGCACGCATTTCCATTGCTGTCTTAAGTTGTACACATTCTTTCTGATAGCCCCAGCTCCTGGCTCTAAAATCATGTCAGCAAATGAGGCAATCATATAAAAAATATCCTCAATTATTCACGTGCCTTTATTTTGCCAAGAGAGAAGTCCATCCCCCCTATATACACTACCTCTCAGCAAGCAAAGTAGGGGCACTTTGTGGGGCAGTTTTCATTCTTAGTCATGATTACAAACTCTGCTGCTTTTGTGCATTCCAATAGGAAAACTTGCTGATTTCATGTCATGTAGAATGAAGTCCGTCCACGTTAATCTTTGCGAAGGTTCCTACGGAATAAGGGTGATTGGTCGATGAAGTTCAGTGACCCTCAACTTCTTTCTTTGAATTTAGTGGCTAACTTTGTGAAACTGTCAACTGCCAATATCTCCGTAAAACCCATAAATTTTGATACCATTTTCAGTAACCTTGAGCTATGGATTTGCGTATACAACAAGGCTGTGCCAGTAAGACACTTCGTTTATTCAGTACTGAGATATGTGTCACTTTAAGTAAAAACACAAGCATATTTTTCAAAGACACCGGTTTGAGGAAAGGTTTGGTGCAATTATATTAAACGAATCGTCAATTCCTTTTTGTCCACGTGCAAAATCCGGGAATAATTTCGACTGTAGACAAAGAGTCACGCCATTCACTTCCGGCAGGATGGAGTCCATGATGAATGGTTTTCTCAAAAGTTGGAAGAGGGTAGACAAAACAAACGAAAAGCTCATTTCTTTCGAGGTTAGTTTGGAATTTCGAGGAAAAATAAATCCATGTTATTGTTTGGTTCTTTGGTGTCACAAAGTGTGGCTGTCCGTTTGGTCGGTTTCACAGACATCCAATTACTAGTCGCTTTTGAAATATGCTTACTAATTAAGTAAGTAAACATAACAAACTTCCACAGATGTTACAAAAAGTCTCCTAATGAAATCCCAATGAGATTTTGCAGTTACCTCACCGATAATGAACTGGAAGTATTTACTGCCACCTTGAATAACATTCTGTCCACCAGGAGTTCTGTCCCAGGAGTTCTTTCTATAAAGATGTACACATATATAGTTTAATTTCGCACAACGTGAATTCAAACCTGGTTACTAAATTTCATTCCTTCAATGATAATCATTTACTAGCTTCTGGCTGGCGTTTTGTTGCCAACAATGGTCGGATATACAAGCCGTTGCGTTCTTGTGTCCAGCTACGTGGATAAGCTCCGTAATCATTTCTTTCGGCAGCGAGTTAGGTTAAGTAGCTTTCAGTGGTTCCGCATAATGGAATCAGGCTTAGTGGTACTGTGAGAAATGTAATCCTGTATGTTTCCTTAACCAAGGCCACACCTGAGGGTGAAAGGCAACCAAAACGTGTACATTTGTTGTTGTCACCCGACGAGCTTATTTCTGCACGATGATGTAAGTTAATCACCATTGTTCCCCAGTCTGTTCTGAAACCAACAGCATGAAAAACACTGGGAATCGTGCCCAAAGATTTATGTTTTGTGATAATGGAAATAACGCACGCCAATAGGAACCCGATGATTCACTCATTTATCACTCACGCGGGAACAGGCGAAAGAGACAACTTTGGTTTAGCGACTTCATTCATGGTACTCTGTGTACTCATATATTGTACGAAGCCCGTAGACGGTCCGTCATTTTAACTTATCGGGTCACCGTATTCCCCAAAAAGAGAAATAATCGGTTGATTAACTGATTTTCGGACCATGTTGCATACAAAGTTGTTGGAACTGGGACCCAATAGCGTCCCTCGTATTCAGTGTAATTATGCGATTTTTGAGGGCCAGTCCGTGCCATGTAATATATGCAGAATGCCGATAAAATGAGACTCGGCTGAGTGCCCATTTCTAACATCTGCGCACTCTTTTCAAACAAAGTATTTATATTCATATCTATAAATCAGTTTTTCTGACTTTCCTAGAGGGGTTTAGTTAG